TACGTACGGTCCTTGGATTCGTCGTTGACGAACGACGGGGGGACGCTGACTGGGGCCACCAGGAGGAGGTGGTGGAGGATTCGACCTTTGTATGTGAGAACGAATTCGTAATGAGGGGGGGTGTGAAGTTAATATTGGGGGTTTGGCTTACATTTTGGATGGATCAACGTAATGCAGGCAGTGAAGTGAGGCTTCCGACTTCACTTCTGCCCAAACGCCAAACGCGGCCTTCTTATAACCGTTGGTCAATAATCAATGAAAGGATTGGCAGCTCGGTGATTGTGAACTGCTATGGTAGGCCGGGGATGTAGCCTGGGTGTCGAGGGAAGTATGTGAGAAAGTGTAGAAGGTAAGAAGAGAAGAAATAAATGAAGCCTTTGAGGATTGAGGACCCTAGAATATATGGAAGGGAAGTGGAATGATGGAAATGTAAGTGAGGTACACAGGTACAAAGGTACAAGCTTCAAAACTGAACGACGGCCGAGTATTTTATTTAATTCCAGCCAATGAGAGATCGTTGTTGCCTATAATTGGATTGGAAAATGGCAATTTAGATCACGTGAGACCGCGAAAGGAGAGACCTATTTGGGTTAACGCGTAGGGTAGGGGGGGAAACCGGGACAAATGTAGCAATTGTTACGAGTTTGTTGGCTGGGTGGCAATGGGGAGAGGGGAGAAGAAGTAATACCGGTGATCTCTCTCTTTCTTCTTCTTCTGTTTACATTCTATCCTCTTCATCAAATAAATATCTATGCATATATTGTATTTCACCTCAAGATTCTTTATACTGTGCGACCAAGGCTTGCGCCATTGAGTACCTATTCGTGCTCAATCCCACCTTTGTTGGCTGTCGAGTCAGCATTCGTTACTTCTACCCGTCGCCGCCTGACAACCTCTTTGGCCGTCTTTGGGCCACTACGAATCCAGTCGTTTCAGTCCCAGAGTGAATCCACCCCGACTTCAGCCATTCCCCAAAAGCAAACCAGCACCTGCCTGCGCTGCTTATAGTCGGATCCTCAGCCTGGCTTCACCTGGCCGCATCCAGTACCGGCCTCAACTTCCACAACTCTGTTCTTTTGTCCCACCAATCCATTGTCATCTTGGGACACCCATCTCGGTCGTTATTTTGGTCCTAGATCATTGAGAGACAAGATGTAAGTAGATTCAATCTATATTTCCTTATCCACTCGGAGCATCTCATTATTGGACTGGGCTGACATCATTCCTCTCCAGCTATATGAACGTGAACGAAGAGGCTGGGCCTCAATACAAACATGGTCGCTCTCAGTACAAGGCGTTGGACTAGAAGTTCCATAGCGGCCACCTACGATGGTGCTGGCGATGAGAACGACATCGATCCACTACAGGCCGCCGAATCAATCGACCGGACTTCCACGTCGTCGGCATCTACCACACATGAGAGCAGTGGTTACTCTACCCCCGCTACAAGTGCCGTTACTACCCCAGCTCAGGTGAAAGATGAACCCTCAATGTAAGTCGTCTATATCTGATTTCTTGCGGGCCCGATTTCTGGAATCAATGACATACCCCTCTCGCTTCAATTCTAATTAGAAGTAGTCGTGGTACCAGGCGCCGTATCGCCTCATCTCTTGCCCACGAGGTGTCTTCGGCTACAGCCACCGTGGTTCACCGGGGCAAAGCACTCCGCAATAGCGAATTTGCCCTGAATCCAAGTAGCAGCAGAAAGAGGTCCCAGCCGGTGTTAGACAGCGAGGATGATGATGATGATGAGTTCGAAGACAACTCTAGGGATGCTCAGCTCGCGAGAGCATTGCAGAACGAAGAAAATGAGCGAAGCGAGCTTGTCAGCACAGAGCCCCAAGCTTCTCTCGGAACTAGTCGACGTGGACGACCTCGGAGATCAGTTTTGCCCATGACGGACTTTGCAGACAATTTTTCGGAGGACGAAGATGCTTATAACCCACCTTCAAAGAAGGCCAAGCTGTCTGATAGAAAGGGCAAAGCACGTGCGATGGTTCGCGACTCCGACGAAGTATCCGAGTTCACTAACGGTTCCTTGTCTGCGGATGAGAACGACTTCCCGGGTTTCACGGGCAAAGAAGAGACCAAACAATCTCGGCGTCCTGCTCAAGCTCGTCGTCGCTACGGCAATAACCCGCCCCAACGCCGAAGTACCTTCCAACAGCCGTCTACTCCTGCTATGGAACCCGCAGACGATACTGCCCCAATTGAACAGCCCGATACTGCCGCCGAGGGAGATAGTGATAATGACTCTGAGATGCCCAATTTTACCACGATGACCCTGGCGGAAAGGAGAGCGTACAAGTTAGAGAGTAGGACCAGGGCAGCCCGCCAAAGGTTGGAAAACCATCACCCAGAGCTTTTAGTGATGTGGAAAGAGCTTAGAGATCTGCCAAAGATCCCACCCACCAAAGCAGAACAGCCTGCAAATATATCGAGGGAGTTGAAACCGTTCCAATTGGAAGGTTTGAATTGGATGAAGATGATGGAGAAGACCAAGTGGGGCGGAGGATTGTTAGGCGACGAGATGGGCATGGGGAAGACGATCCAGGCTGTCTCCTTGATTATGTCTGACTATCCAGCTAAGAACCCGTCGCTTGTCCTTATCCCGCCTGTCGCTCTCATGCAGTGGCAGCAAGAAATCGCGCAGTATACAGATGGCACACTCAAGACATTCGTCTACCACGGGACAAACAGCGCCGCGAAGGGTATCACAGTTGCTACGCTTCGAAAGTACGATGTAATTTTGATGTCATACAACAGTTTGGAGTCGCTGTACCGCTTCCAAGAGAAGGGCAGGAAGAGAAAAGATGAGGTTGCATTCCAAAAGAGTCCTGTTCACCAAATCCAGTTTCACAGGGTCATCCTAGATGAGGCTCATAACATCAAGGTAGGAACCAACCCCATCCCCCCTCCCTCAGAGCTGACTATTTGTTTCTAGCAACGTACTACCGGAAGTGCCAAAGCTTGCTTTGCACTTAAAGCTGACCACAAGTGGTGTCTCTCTGGTACACCACTTCAGAACCGTATCGGCGAATTCTTTTCGTTGATTAGGTTTCTTGATGTCCGACCTTTCGCAAGTTATTTCTGCAAGCAGTGCCCCTGCAGCCAACTTGAATGGGCAATGGATGAAAGAAACCGCTGCACCAAATGCTCCCACAATGGCATGCAGCACGTCTCGGTCTTCAACCAAGAGCTTCTCAACCCAATCCAGAAGTACGGCAACTATGGTCCGGGCAAAGAGGCATTTGCAAAGCTCCGCCTCCTTACCGACCGCTTCATGCTCCGTCGCGTCAAGACAGACCATTCTGCTGCGATGGAGCTGCCAGCCAAAGAAATCTATGTTGATCGCAAGTTCTTCGGAGACGAGGAAAATGACTTCGCTAGCAGCATTATGAACAGCGGTACTCGCAAGTTCGAGACTTACGTTTCTCAAGGTGTGCTGCTGAACAACTACGCCAACATTTTCGGTTTGATCATGCAAATGCGCCAAGTCGCAGATCATCCAGATCTGATTCTCAAGAAGGATGGGGCAGGTGGTCAGAACATATTGTGCTGCTGCATTTGTGATGAACCGGCCGAAGATGCGGTCAGATCAGCGTGTAAACACGACTTTTGCCGCACATGTGTGAAGAATTACATCGCCTCATCCGAAGAATCTACAGCAACCCCCGACTGCCCACGCTGCCATCTCCCCCTAGCCATTGACCTCGAGCAACCTGAGATGGTGCAGGATGAGTCCGCCGTTAAAAAGACAAGCATCATCAACCGAATCAAGATGGAGAACTGGACGAGTTCATCTAAGATCGAAGCACTACTGTACGATCTCCACCTCCTTCGCTCCAAGAACTCGTCAACGAAGAGCATCATCTTCTCCGGCTTCACCACGATGCTGCAACTTGTTGAGTGGCGCCTCAGACGCGCTGGAATCACAACGGTCATGTTGGACGGCAGCATGACACCCGCGCAGCGCCAGGCCAGTATCAACGCTTTCATGACAGACCCAACCATCGAGTGCTTCCTCGTTTCCCTGAAGGCCGGCGGTGTCGCGCTCAACCTCACAGAGGCAAGCCATGTCTTCATTGTTGACCCGTGGTGGAACCCGGCGGCGGAATGGCAGTCTGCGGACCGCTGTCATCGCATTGGACAATGTCGCCCCTGCAACATCACGCGTCTGTGCATTGAGGACAGTGTCGAGAGCCGGATGGTGATGTTGCAGGAGAAGAAGAGCAATATGATCCGTAGCACGATTAATAATGATGAGGCGGCTATGGAGAGCTTGACGGCGGAGGATATGCAGTTTTTGTTCCGTGGTACTTAGGGGTGGGTGTTAATTTTTTCTGGCGTTGGGGGAATAGGGACGTACGTTTGCGGTTTTTTGGCGGAGTAGGTGGGACAGGAATAACGATCACGATAGCAAGGGTATGGATATTGTTTATTTGCTATTCTACGGAATGGCGGACTGTGGAATATGGGCCTTGCCTACTTGCCTCCAATAAGCATTGGCAAGCGTTTTATAGCTTATATCGGAGATTTTAGCGTAGACATTGACTCTATAACTACGACGTGCATCTCCTCATATTCGTGCTATCCTCTCCTTTCCCTTACACCGTAATCCAAAAGGCGTTGAGGTATGGATGGAGTCAGCGTCGCCAAGAAAATGCTGGAGATCATAGATCAAGGAAGGCAAGAGGGATATATTCGAAAAACCATCACGACGTGTACACAACGGATGCTGCATTCGAAGTTGAAGGCCTCACGGCAGCCAATAAATATGAAAACCACTGAGGCCTCATCCACAACAACCACCACGAGTCCCTAAAAGCCTCATATGGAGTATCCGTCATTATGTTGGCGTCCCGGCCGGATTTACAATGGGTAGAGAGCGTGGATAAGGAGCGAATGACGCAGCAACTAACGATGATGGGAAGGAGCGGTGACGGGAAGGAGCGAGCCACGATGCTGTCGAGTCCAGCAAATGCGAATGAGTTCTCGCTAGCCCGAAATTCAATATCGGAGCTATCATAGTCATCGTCCATGCTTGTTGCACTGGATCTCTTGAAACTGGTGAGTTCATATATCTGGAACCCTCATCTTTTCGATGGATTCGAGGATCTTATTCCAGTGATCATTATCATAATTCAGTACGTGTGTCTATAACAACGAAAATCTAACAGGACCATGCCCATCATCAGGCCTTCTTCCCTCCCAACAGCTTGATAGCCTCCCCTCGAACTTCCTCCACAATCTTACCCGCCCCCTTAACGTCCCCCACCAACCCCACCGCACTCCCCGCATACGTCGTCGCCCTCCCCTCAACCCCCCACGCCTTATCGCCCTCCTCCATCGCCTTCAAATACTTCTTCACATTCTCCTCCACCCCCAGCGTCTCACTATCCACATAACTCTTATTCACAATACCCCTCCCATTATACCCCTCCGGCCACGTCTTCGATCCCCTCAACGTGTCATAAATTAGCGTACGTACCGTATTAACACCCCCATCCGACGCAACTAGCACCGCATCCTGATACCCCCGCGCAATCTTCGCCTCAGGACAAGCAAGGAACCGCGTCCCCATCGCCACACCATCCGCACCGAGCACAGTTGCCGCCGCAACCCCGCGACCGTCCGCTATGCCCCCCGCGGCTATGACGGGGATATTCAATCCCGCCTCGCGGAGCGCATCCGTCGTCTCAGGGACAAGTGCTACGATCGAAGCCGACGCCGCAAGACCGTGCCCACCTGCATCAGCGCCCTGGAGGACGAGGACATCCGGCTGGCATAGCTTAGCATAGCTGAGAGCTTGTGCTTTCGTCCCGACTTGGAGCCAGATCTTGGGTGGAGCGGGGAGTGAACGCAGACCCGTCGTCCATTTCGCGATAGTGTCTGGGGATGCGGCTGGGAAGAGCCAGACTGCTGCGGGGACTTGGGCGGGAGGGAGGCTGGCGAGGAGGTTGACGGTTTCAGTTGGGGAGGGGTCGGTGATGAGGAGGAAGCCGATGCCGAATGGCGCGGGCCTGGAGGAGGAGGAAGGGGTGAAGAGGGCGTTTGCCTCGTCGATGAGGGTCTTCAGGCCTGGGATGCTGGTGTCTGTTCCGGGGATGCCAAAGCCGAGGAAACCAAGGCCGCCGGACTGGGAGACGGCGTGAACGAGGGCGGGGGAGGAGATGAGGCGCATGGGGGCGCAGACGATGAGGGGGGAGGTGGTGCCGGGGTATTGCTGGGTTAGGGTTTTGGGAGCGCTTTTGGCAGCGGAGCTGGCTGGGTTGGAAGCCATTGTGAGGAGCTGAGATGCTTCGTTTTTGAAGTTGGTGTGTTGGTTTGTGGATGGCGGGGTACTATATCTTATCACATTCACACTAGGCTGGTAGGTTCAAAAAGAGAAATTGGGAGTTAGATTGAGGAGAAGATAATTATGATGGGGAGGATATATAATAGATTTCATACAAACAGTCGACAACTCGACGACCTACCATGCGATATATATGTAAGAGTCACCCCTCGGGCAGATTCCGAGATGATTTACATATACACTATCTTTGACATCATATATCTGTTGGAGAGTAGGCCGTGGGCGCTGGGATACGGTGGTATTTGGCCCTATAATCCACTACGGCATCCCAGGATCTCCGACCGGTGCTGGAAACCACCACAGTCTCAACTGGGGTTTCAGCTCTGAAGCCACCAGAATAGGGGGCTTTTGGGGGGTCGAAGCAGAACCTCCGAAAGGCCTACAAATAGCCACGTAGGCCCATTAGATAGTGTAGTTAATCAATCGATCTTATTTTGCTATAGTAAGCTATATACTGTGTGAGAACTCCTGCCCCGTTGCACCCGTGAGAAGTCCCGACCACTGGAGAAACCACATGATTTGTGTGTGATCCCGTACCACGGTACTTCCTGTTCCAACAATATCGGACCTCGGAAGGAGTCACGCCCTTGCCAAGACGTGCTACCGCCAAGATCCAAAAATAGACAAGCGTTGCCGCAGAGCCGCGCCATCAGACATAGGCCCGTCGAAAGGTAAATTTCCATGTCGAAGGTCTATTTCGATGCGACCTGCGATAGCTCCCTTGGCATCTATCTTCACCTGGACGACTTTCCATTTCCATTTGCCTTAATCATCTCTTTATATACCCCTTATATAATATAGCCATAAGAGCCATATCCCTTCTTGCCGCCTTTGCAAGTGCGCCGCCACTTTTGGAAGAACTGCTGGAGAACGAACGACCATTCTTAGACGATAAACCATGAACGCACCGGATAGGTTAGTTGCATCCCTTCCGTTGCTCCTTGCTTTGGTTGCGGTCCTCTGGAGCGTGTGGATATTCTGGAACGTGGGGAGCGACATCGTGGCGAGGAACTTGAGGGCGTAGATGGGCGTGGCGCGACAACTTCGAATGGCGCCTGGGCTTGATATAAGATGGGAGAGCATGTCGAGAAAAAGCAGAGACGTAGAGAGTATTCTCCGGCTGCCTCGACGATTTATGGCGCCGGAAGCAGAGTGGGACATGGCCTGCGGATCGTCGGCATGGTTCTAGGCAAAAGGCACACGACCAACAAAGAGACTCCTCTATAATGGGCCGTCTGAAAGATAAAAATATGCATAGCGATGGCTTCGGAATAATGTGCGCTGCCGATGGGAGGATTGCGGGGTGTGGATGGTGTCGCGCAAAGGCATAAGCCAGGAGATACCACAATACTCCAGACGCCATCCTATGTGCACAACAAACTCAACACACTGTCCCAACCAACTCTACAAACCATCTGTCGCAACTCTGTCTTCAAACATAAAAACAACCGTCTGCACGTTGTAATTATACGCCTGTACTCCTAAAAAAACGGTCAAAAGCCAGCATCGGCAACGAAGCGCAACTATGGCCTACTCTTACGACGATCCTGTGATCCAAACCGCCCACTTAGTCAACGTCCCCAATCGCCTTGAGGTCGAGCTTGCCAACCTCAAATCGGCCTACAACCGCCCACCCAACACGATGGCCAGCTTCAACCCCGACAGCCACCTCCTGGACCGCTTCGAGCACGTGCAACGTGGAGGAACGGAAGTTAACATCACTGACAGATTCGAACTCTTCCTCTTGGGTGATGGAGAGAAGAAGATCACTGAGGCTGTTGATACTCGTAAGTTCACCTTGATTCTGCTCGATGCACGTGGAATGAGAGCTAATCCGACGGAACAGGCACCCCGAACTCATCTATCTTTACCATCTTGAAGGAGGACCACACCCTGGCCAACCTTCTGCGCGCCCACCTGCTCAAAGACCCACACGTCACCTTCGCTGGTTACAGAGGTACTACCCCCCGCGCTACCACACGCATCCAGAACACAACTAATAACCCCTCCCAGTCCCCCACCCCCTCTTCGCCACCATCGAGCTCCGTGTCCAAACCGACGGCACCCTCACACCCAAAGAAGCCGTCATCGGCATCGCCAAATCCCTCGTGGCGGAGCTGGCCCAGCTGAGCCGTGAGTTCACCAAGGAATTCGAGTTGCGCAAGATGGTGGCGGGCGCTGCTGCGGATACCAACCAGGGACAGCAGTAGATTCAGTTTGCTTTGCGGCACTGGCATGGGATCCAGGGAGGATGGGCTGCTGATGGGTATGGGGGTTTATGCATAGCGGGTGTTGGGAGTTTTATGGGTGGGTGGTTGGGTTTGGCGTGGTATCGGGGACTTTGATGCGTTTCGGTTGGAGGAAAATCAATCCAACAATATCCTTCCCCAACGAATTACATGTCTTCTGCAATATTTTGTTACTATGCATCTTATGTGAATGAATTTTGTTACTATGCATCTTATGTGAATGATGATCCTGAGGTATGGAGCATTATATTCGATAGATGGCAAACATATTAATATACAGAGGGAAACACGTGATTACAGAGGTAAACAGAATATGTATCATGAAGCTGGCTGTTCGATGTGCTGGAAAAACTGTCACCGCGATAGCTATGGGTTGCAACCTCTCTGGCGACACACAGTACCACAATTTGTGGCAGCCAGCCACAGTAATTATAGCCCCAATTACCACAATAGGTAAAATCATCACATACGGACGTAACCAAAAGTTACAGAAAAATTTCACTCCATTTGTCTATCTGCTATACAGCCTGACACCCACACAGGGTGATCTATGATGCAGAAGCCAATGGTCCCTCTCCTCCTGGAATCAGCTGTGATTTGTTAGATGGGGTTCACGAGCAGAGACAGGGGGAAAGTTGAAAAGGGGCAGAGCAAAAGGAAGAGAGGGGGAAAACGAGCCATGCAGATGTTATTCCCGTTCAGCAAAATCTTCTCCATCTTCGTTGTTGCGCCGGTGTAGTCACTGGGGCTGGTCAGTATTGGTCTAAGTCTTGGTGGGGAGGGTGAAATACAATTCCGTCACATCCTCCAGTACCATGTTTACATAGTCATCAAAACCGGTGAGGGTGCCTGTGAATTCTATAGGGGGTTAATATGGATATGGCGTTGCTGAGTTAGTTAAGATCCAAATACCTTTGTCGGTCTTCATGACAACCCAGATCTTACTTCCGACACAGCGATCGATGAGTTCTATTTCCGTCAGCGCGCTGCACAATCCCGCGATGCATAATGAAGGTCAAACGGGAAGCAAAAGAGGAAGCACATACCAAGCGGGAGTAATTGTGTCGACGTCATCGTGGCTGACGGCGTGCTGATCAGCAGCGGCTTCCTTGTCTTTCTCTGATAGAACTGGGTGCGAGTTCAAAGCCCTGTAGGTACGGTACGGATGCTTAGGCTGTACGTAGCGTTCACCTCGAAGCTTAGCCTCAGCCTTTTTCTGCTTGCGGAACTCGTGGTGCAAGCCTGTTTGAGGGTCAGTTGGGTTTGCACAGAGGTGATTGAGGTTATTGAGCTTGTTGAGATGGAGGGGAGGCGCGGAGCGGGGTAGTAGGCGCTGGGCTTTGGGTAGGGCACGCCGTTGATGAGGATGAACTTGTTTCCGGGGTTCTTCTTACGGAGCTTCTTTTTCTTGCCGTTGCGTTTGACCTCTGTGGCGTGTTAGCTGGGGCATTGTGATGACCAGGATGCGACCGTAGATTCGAGGAAAGGCGAGGGGAAAGGGAGAAAGGGCAGGTCGGTGTAGATGGAAGGGAGGAGAAGAAGCTGACTCTCTTGTTTCACGACTTGATAGTAGTATGGGCCTCCTGACACGTGGAAGAAATCCCTAAGATGGGCGTCGATGTCATGGCGCCAGGAGATTATCCTCGCCTTGATGCGCTCCTTGAGCGTAGGGGCAGAGGCAGAGGCAGGGGCATCGGTTTGACCCATATCATAGCTCATGATGAAGAGGAATAATTGAATGAATGATTTGATTTGCAATAGGAGTCTTGGTGAAGTGAAAGGGGCACAGAACCAACAGCACGTGATATGTGCCAAAATGAAGTGTGGTGAGAGAGAGAGAGTGAGTGGACGAGGAAGTGAAAAGAACTTACAGTTTGTGGACAAAATATAAAGAAGTGAATTTAAGGGCGCTTAGCTGTGGTGTCGGCCTAGCGGTGTCGTTTCGGGTCGTCGGGGGAGACTTGTCAGTTGAATTGTGTTTATGGGATGGTGATGTTTTGGTGTTGTCAAAGAACGGAACAACTCCATCACCAAGACAAATTCGGCGCTAGTAGAACAATGGTCGAACGTGCATGGAACGTTGAAATAAGTCGTGGTCTGTGCGTTTGATTTACAAGTGCGGGAATGTATTTTAGGGACGATTTGATCGAATACTGTTATCACCGTCATGCTTAATTCATCTATATATAGACCATATTCCCATAACCGCCCTTTATTAAATCCCTACTATTGATATACACTATAAATCGCGTATATATCTTCCTCTAACCCTCGGGCTGCTTCATTTCTTGAGGCTGGATGGGAGATATGGTGCAAGCTACACTTTACGCGTGTGATAGCCACTCATTTGCCGCCGATACGCGAAATCCGAACGTGGCGAGGGGACCAACGTGACCCATGAGTGTAGGGATTCCATCAACCCCCCGCCTGTCAATCCGACACTCCACGACATGCGCCTTTGCTATCATGGGGTATCACCACCGAGCAGACTCCTCGCAAAATCACAGACCTCGATGAGCAGCTTTACGGGCACCACTAGCCTTGCGAACGATGCGATGCGCTCTCTGGCTGCACTGAGAGGAAGGCCACCGTGAGTGCTGCCCTTTTGTAACATGGTGAGGAGAGAAGCTAATAGTTTATTTAAACAGAGCCACTGCTGCACCAGCACGACCATATAACTTGGGAAGATTATGGAGTCCAGCCCAAGGAATCGTGTTTGGAAATGGCGAGAGTGGGTTGCGAGGGAGCAGCCCGAGGGCACTCAGTACGACCACATTATCCACACTAGAAACTTCGACGGCTACGATTGAGAATACCTATACCTTGTCGAGCAAGGAAAATTTGACCCCAACCCAGGAATCTGACCAAGGAACACAATCCCTCCCGAGCAGCTCCAGTAGCTGGGCCCCTTCAATTCTCGACACGGGCGGTTTACAGACGGATCCCTCCCAAATCGAAGTCTCCCAGCAAGAGGCTGTTACTGGAAACCCCAAACGGAAGGAGGAAACGGAAGTCCACACACCACTCTCATTTGTGATGCCACCCGAAGTCCTCCAGAAGGCCAAAGACGCAACCCCAGATACCCCCGATTCCTTCTGGACGCACAGACTATACACAGGCCCCGACGACACGAAAGTCAAGGTCCATTATTGCAAGTCCCGACACACTACCGAGTCCGTGCTTCAGAAGCACTTCCTGGGTAAGCCCATACTCGGCTTCGACATTGAATGGAAAATCGACGCGACTCGGTTCTCCTCTCCAAAGAAGAATGTTTCTCTTATACAGCTCGCCTGTGAAGACCGGATCATCCTCAGTCATCTCGCACTCTTCCCCAAAGACGGCATCGATGATCTGGTTGCCCCCACCCTCAAGGCTATCCTTGAGGACCCCAATGTTTCCAAATGCGGCGTCGCTATCAAGGCAGACTGCACACGCGTGCGGAAGTTCCTCAAGGTTGATACGCGCGGCATTTTCGAGTTGAGCCATCTGCACCGCCTGATTGAGGGCTCTGCTGCACGCAATCCAACTCTCATAAACAAGAAGCTCGTGTCGCTCACATCGCAAGCATCTGAGCATCTTGCCCTCCCCATATTCAAAGGAGAGGTACGTGGCAGCGATTGGAGTGAGGCCCTAAGCATGGAGCAGATCTTGTATGCAGCTAGTGATGCGTATGCGGGGTTCATCTTGTACGATGTCCTCGAGTCAAAACGAAAAGCTCTGCGCCCCACGCCACCGCGCCCCTACCACGCCGAACTCGGCCTCCCCATCCGCCTTGCATCTGGCATTGAACTCGTCACCGCTGACGATTCACTCGATGATTCTACTGCAGCCCTCGAGCCGCGCAAGACGTCGCCATCCGCCCCCCAAGACCCGTCCCTTTCTATTCCCCTAGAAACTGATGATGATTCATCTCCACCTCTTACCAAAACATCGAAGCGCCCTGCAAAGAAGGCCGAACGACCTGCAGACCCTCGCGTGGACGCTGCTGCTGCCTTTGCCGTCTCATACCGCGCCGCGAATCCTTCTACCACTGCAGCACCTGCAGCTTTACGTGCCTACCATATCTGGTCATCACATGAAGAACTGTTGGTTGAAGACATTGCAGGGTTGCTGCGGGATCCGCCGTTGAAGACCGGGACGGTAAGGGGGTATATCCTTGAGGCGCTGCGATTGGAGGGCCGGGGTGTTCTGGGAAGCGGCGCGGGGCTTCGAAGTGAAAGGGGGCTAGAGATCAAGGGGAGAGAGGACAGGGTGAAAGCGTTACTAGAGGGAGTTGAAGGGGATACATCCGGGTGGAGATGGAGGGGACTATGGAGAATAGTTGGCGGGGAAAGGAAAAGCACCTAGCCGACGTGAATACCGTGGTTGAGTTGGCATGAATGGGACGAAATACATGATTGGGTGCATGCAATGGCGTTTCTGGGTAGGAATGGGTTTGAAGCATGACACTGGTTGGATAATACGACCAAGTCACATAGCTAGGATAGACTGACGGCGGCGCCGCTCAAAATAAATACGAGATAAATAAAGCCGTAGATTTATTACACCATTTACTCCAACCTATGCAACATCCAATCCACCAATTACCGGGTATCATCCCCCCGTCTCAACGCCTACGACTTCTCCAACTTCGCCGGTGCGTTAATCTGCACCCTTCTATCCTCACCCGCACTCACAATACCCACAGTCTGGTCCCACACAACACCAAACACCTTCTCGCCCTCACCACCGACCTTGCTCTTCCCCGCGCCATCACGGCCAACCACAAACACCGCCTCGCCCACCCGTCCGCCCTCATCAAGATTCCCGTCTCTCGAGGACCTCACATCCCACACCCTAACTGTTCCATCATGCGCACCACTAACCAGGCCAAACGCACTCGACGGATCCCGCGCCAGACTTGCAATCTTATTCTTGTTTCCACGCAGCGTCATCACCACGCCTCCAGCCCTCGGGTCAATAAGCGTAATGTGCCTCGCCGCCGAACCGACCGCTACAACATGTCCCCTTCCACCAGGCGCAAGGGTAGTCAAGCACAGCAGCGCATGTCCAGTCGCGCGCGTATCAACCACGTTCCCAGTCGCGAGATCAAGCGTCTTGAGAGTATGATCCAACGAAGTGGAATACGCAGCCGTAGCATCATCAGGATGGAACACCACTCCCGTAGCAGGCGCCGTGTGCACAGCCATCATGCTAGTCGCGCCGCGCGCCAGAACATCAACAGCAGCGTTCATTTTCCTCCTCTTGGCGGAAGGCGCGGAGCCAGGGAGGAGCGCGGCGGGGGCAGCGGGAGCGGATTTGTTGGGTGTCCAGAGGCCAATGGAGCCGTCTGCCGAGGCGGAGAGGAGGCGGTTGGAAGGGGTGTGCGCGGCGAGGGAGTCGATGGGAAGGGTGTGTCCGTACAGCGCGAGGGTGGGGGTTAGCTTGCCCTGCGCGTCTGGGCCGGTGGCGTCAGCGTACGACCAGATGCGGACTGTGCGGTCGAGGCCGGCGGAGGCGAGGGTGGTGGGGGAGAGGAACTTGGCGGCTTTGATGCAGGAAGTGTGGCCGCCGTTGGAGGCGCCAGGGGAGGTGGCGATGACGGTTCCGGAGGGGGACCACATGCGGAGGAGGCCATCGTAGGAGCCGGAGAGGATTCGGGGGTCCTTTTCGTAGGCGGAGGAGTGGGGGGAGGTGGCGGAGAGGACGTCCACGGCTGCGACCCAGTCGTCGTGCTCGAAGGCCGCGGTGAAGGTGGGGGGGATGCTGGAGCGGAGGAATTGCAGCGTTAGGGTTGTTTCGGCGGAGAGGCCGGCGGAGACGAGGTACTCGGCGAGGGTGGTGCGGAGGAATGTGCCGTTGATGAGGATGTCAAATGGGGTGGGGGTGGGGAGATCGAGCATGGCGGGGGAGTTGAGGATTTGAGAGAGATTGTAACGACGGATGTCTGCGAGGAGGGGTTAGCATGGCTATAGAGAAGCATGAAATGGGTTAATTCTTACCAGTAGGGACGAGGAGGACTCTCTTGGACTCCTCGAGCTCGAATTCCTTCTCCTCGGTCACAAAGTGGACTTGCACCTGTCCACCGGACCTCGTCACCTCCTCTCCATTCTGCGCATCTTGGTCGGCCATGGCTCAGTATTCCGTCTCCGAGATGGATATTGGTGGAATTTGTCTATATGCTCAGCGGTGAGCCGAAGATTGAGAGATAAATGGCGAACTGCAAACTGGCGATGCTGTTGATGGGATCAGATTCGATGTTGAAAATGGCCCAGCAACTTTTCAAAAATTTTCCGGGCGACTGGGCGGACCTAAACTGCAGTTCCCATTGTCAGCCTCGCATGCGAGGCTGTGATAACATCATGGTTCATAATCAGTTGCTACCGGCGACTCTTTGTCATTTCAAATCCTTTGAATCCTCCCTGGGGTTTCATTTCTGCCCTACTATTGATATACTTCATTCATTTTATGGAGTGTGAAGTGTAAAATCCGCCTCTGTTTTCCAATACAAAAAATAGCGAAATTCCTATTATCAAGTGATCAAGAGAACTACTTGTCCAGGTAGGTTACCACTCACCATGTTTAAAGTCTGGCCATTCATTGATGACATACTCGCAGCTGCCAATAACTCTCGTGAAGCACATCATGTTATCATAATAACCCGAAGACACTTTCATTCCCTAGCCCCTGCAACACCATGTAAAGGGAGTTTGACACTATTAAAACGAACTCTTCTAATTGTGAACCAAGACGTTGAACAAGCTCGTCGGGCGGTCCTAACCACTCGAGTTCCATAGCACGTTTTTCCTCCTCGGAAGCGTCGCGTATAGTGTGCGTCATGGGTAACCGGTGGTTGCAAACCGCCGGTCTGAAGATAGAAACCGCCCAGACCGACGTGGGCACCCAGCGGTTCCTTGGCAACCCATCACGTGTGATGAATTGTCACACGTGATGGGTTCCACACATGATGGGTTGCCACAAATACAATCGTTACTATAGTTATTACTATACAGTTACAATAGACCAATATAGTAGAAACGTTTCATTGGATTTCTACTATCTGTATCCTGCTACTCATTTGCCCTTTTCATCCAAGCTTTCCCGAGAATGATGGAATGTTTTCCCAGCGAAGTGATGAATAATGGACATAGGCTTTCCACATGCTCTCCCACTTGTAGTCGAGGATATATAGCATGTGTGATAGCAGGGGCAGCCTCTCCATTGAATCCTTCAACTTGTTTTGGCTTCACAAGTTCGACTGGGGCTATCCCTTCGATTTCACATATTCTTTCTGCATCAGCAGCATTAATGAAGTTTCCACCTGTGGCACCAGTATCGATCAATGCATCGACAATAGCTTTGTATTTTCCTATTCTACAAGTAGCTAAGAAAGGGGTGTCCGGATCAAAACTGGATCTCGAGGAAGAAGCTGCAATTCTGGCTGCACTGCCTCTAGTGATGACTTGTCTAGAGGCTATTCGTTTTCCGAATCGATGATAGACTCAGCTGTAGATACCTCATTCACTTGAGCTTTGAGCTTCTGGGGACAGTCTCGAGCTCGATGTCCATTTTGTCGGCATATGAAGCATTTCCCAAGTTTCATGAGCATTTCTTTTGCTGGATCTTGATGCGGTGGTCGATACAGCTTCTGCGTCTTGTTTTGCATGTTGGAATCCATTGTAGGTTGAGGGATTGAAGTTTGAAGTGCCTGGCCCTGATTTTGAGTTTGGCCCATGTTGTTCGAAAATGACTTTGGCTTCCTTTTGTCTTCTTGTTCCTTGATCCGCTGAATGTTCTGGTCGATGAGCATGCATTTCTTTGCAAACTCGTGAAGTGTAGTAGCTCCAACTTCAGCCACTAAGGCTTTCTGCATCTGTTGGTTGACTTTGAAGCGCAAGTCATCCAGCAAAGTTTCTTCAGAGTAATCAAGCTCTGTCGTGAGCCTTTGGAACTCAGCCCAGAACACTGCAAAGGTGTTGTTTCTCTGATACAGCTTTCGATACTCAGTTTGAGCTGTGTGCCTTCGATTGGGATCACTGAAGACTTTTTCCAAAAGTTCGAGAATTTCTTCTGCTGTCTGCAATTTGTTTGTAGAGTTTGGTCGAAGCCTTGGATTGACATGTCGAACTGCCAGTCCTCCCAGTCGACTCTGAATGTAGCTCATTTGTAAAATCTGTGTTGGAAAATGATCAATGTTGGCTTCGAGCTTGAGGCGAATTTTCACAACCCAGTCTTCAAATGCTGGCTCTATCCCATCTGTGAGGATTGGAGGGTCTGGAATCCGAGCTGACAGTCGACTGTGAGAGTGGTGTCCTGGTTTATTCTTCAGAGCTTGTTGGGTTTGCTTTTCAAGATATTTCTGAATTGTTTGTTGCTCTGTGATTTGTTGCTCGTTGCTCTGGATCAGTTCCTGTAACTGGAGAATGGCATCATCCTTTTTAGCCAGTATCGAATTTGAGTCCTCTGCTAGGGCCAAATAGTCCCGAAGAATGTTCTTGTGCAAAGTCCATGCCATTTTCTGGTTGGCGACAGATAGTTTCTGGAATTCGTCAAAGGTTTCAACATTCCATTCAGCCTTTTCATGTCGATTTGCAAGTATAGATTCATGTCTCTCTTGAGCTGTTTTGCCCAGAGTGTGAAGGAAGGTTTTGGATTTGAAATTAGGATCATGAAGTTCATTGGTTTGGTTTGCAGAGCTTGGAATTGATGCTCCTTCTGCCAGGGATTCCTGGTCTTGTTCTGGATCATTTCGAGCTGCCATTGCAGCTTTTTCTTCAGCTGTATAAGCCATAGCGAGTTGCTATTTCAATTTCGGTTTATATCGTCAAGTCAGACACATATTGCCAAAGGCCCTATTGTGCAGTTGTTGGCCGTAGGAGCCACTCGAGAGGAGCGCACTTCCCTCACAGTTATATCCTTGTTGAGGGAGCGTTGTAAAAGGTCTGACTTGCGAAGGTGGTGTGTGTGTGTCGAGCTGACTGTCGAAAGCCAACTTTGAGGGGTTGCCTGGAGATCGTCCTGGAATCGACTTCAGGATAAGGTTTCTGGTTCTGGGGTTTTCAAAGAGTGGATTTCGATTTCGATTTCAGAAGAGGGTTCAGCTCAAAGAGCAGGAAAAGAGGTATAAGAGAGATTGAGTTTTATGTCACGGTTCACCAAGGCATAGGGCGCCAGTTGGGTATTATGAATTAAACTCAATCTAGAGAAGAAAGGAAAGAGAAGAGGAGCACTCGAGCAGTGGCTCGATCTATATACAGCTATGTTGTTGTGGAGTGAATTCTCTTTAGCGAGACTAGTTCTGAGAATTCACTCCACAACTGAAAACTTCGCTCCAACCCCGGAAAGCTCCCCACACCCCTGAACCCCCACTCGAGCTGCAAGGCGCACTTGATATCGTAACAGTTGTTGTGGGGTAAAACACGTCAATAAGGTCGCTTACTATTGTTGTCCTTACTATTGTTGTGGGAGAATTCACCTTTATCGCCTACTACCGTACAAAAAGTGAAGCTGAAGACATTTTACTAAGCGAGCTAGCTCACAACCCCAACCCCAACAACCTCACCCTACCTTTATTTTTCCTGCACAACACCCCCCCGACCTTCAGATCAACATGGCTATGTGAATTGCTACTGGCTGGCAAACTGGTAAGTAAAGCACCCAAATCTTATAGTAATACTTATAGTAACCCTCTTTTAGTGTCATGGATCTGGACGCTGCCTACGATGCCCCTGATCCAGTAACAAGCTCCGAATCTGAAACTGAGCCCGATGGAAAAAAAGCCCCACTCAAACAATCCCACAAATTCATGCAACTGACCAACTATTCACTTCGGTCACGACAACCACAAGTACAAGCACTTGAGCCAAACACTCCAACTCGCCAGAATGCATGCCTTCAACTCCAGACCCCTCCAGCGACACAACACAAGGTTCGGAAAGGTCCAATTCCAACGTTTGCGCCTGGTCAAAAGTTCAGCAAGAAGATGCCGGCCCAAAAGACTGCTGAAAGGCTCCAAGAAAGACCTCAGGGATCAGCGGAAAGAAGATTGTGAAGAAGGCCACAAAGAAAAGCTGTCATTATAAGCCTGGTAGTAAGTTGATTACTATAACTATTACTATAAATCCTTTCTGATCAAAAACAGCCGTTGCTGTCCGACAAATCAAACAGTACCAAAAATCGACAGAACCTCTCCTTCCCCATGCGCCATTGACGCGACTTATCCGTGAGATCATCAGCGACTTGCGCCCTCGCGAGGACTTTCGGCTTCAGTCTTCTGCAATTTCTGCTCTCCAGGAAGCTGCAGAAACTACACTCGTCAAGGAATTTGAAAGTAAGTGAGTCTAACGTACATGTATAGCGAAAGCGCCAAACAAGCGAAAGCGCCAAACAAGCGAAAGCGCCAAAATGATGCGGTGACCAAACCCCCCAACTAAATGTTAAATTCCTCAACAACAAAACATGCCCCATAAAAACGATGAAAGCCAATTAGTGCTAGCTATCCAGGCTATGCAAAGCGACCCAAAGTTACGCCTTCGAGTTGCTGCTAGGATCTATTCTGTGGACCACCGCAAGCTAGGTCGTCGTCTAGAAGGTGTACCTTCACGACGCGATATCCAAGCCAACTCACGGAAATTAACTAACCTAGAGGAGTCCGTCCTTGTTCAGTATATACTCGACCTAGCTGCCAAAGGGTTTCCTCCTCGGCTGTCTGTTGTTGAAGATATGGCAAGTCGACTACTTGCAACACGCGACGTGTCACGCGTTGGGTCGCGTTGGGCTTCAAACTTTGTTAAGCGGCGTGTAGAGCTCCAGACACGCTTTCAGCGCAAATACGACTACCAGAGGGCTAAGTGCGAAGATCCAGAAGTTATTAATGGCTGGTTTGAGCTTGTGCGTAACACAATTGCGAAATATGGTATCGATGAAGCAGATATCTACAACTTTGATGAGACTGGGTTTATGATGGGCGTTATCTCAACTGCTATGGTTGTAACAAGCTCAGACGGGCGGGCAAAAGCAAAGAAGGTACAGCCTGGTAATCGGGAATGGGTTACAGTAATCCAAGGCGTTAGTTCTCAAGGTTGGGCAGTACCACCATTTATCATTGTTGCAGGCAAAAACCACCTTACATCTTGGTATGAGAATAGTGGATTTTCAAGCGATTGGGTGATTTCTGTTACTGAAAATGGCTGGACTACAAACGAGAGAGGCATGGATTGGATTCAGCACTTTGAGAAGCATACAAAGGCCCGGAGTGTTGGTGGTTATCGCTTGTTAGTCCTTGATGGTCATGAGAGCCACCACTCAGATGAGTTTGAGGAGTACTGCAAGGAACACAACATTATTACGCTTTGTATGCCTGCTCACTCTTCTCATCTA